TATATTGCTTAAAGGGGCTAATAATTTAATAATTTTGACCTTAATGTTTTTTGTTTTAAATATTATAGCAAACACTGTGGAGAAACTCATTGCTCTGTTAAACATCATTTGGGAAATAATTGAAGAAAAAAAAGATTCTTAGGGGGGCTGATCATTTTGACATATAATCCTGTACTAGTACTGTTCATTCTTAGTTAATACATTAACTAACATTAATAAAACCTTATCATAAAGTGTGACCATTTATTTTTCGCAATTCAAATTTCAGTGATCTTTCTCGTTATTTATTATTTTTGTCCCACATAAAATTACTTTTCTTTTTCTTGATTTTAGGTTGATTTAAGATGCTCTTGACAGGTTTTATGAGATGCAGCCATTCACCGATATATTTCCCTCTTTTATTTCCAGCATTAAGCTCTGACGTTTGCTGATGTGTGTGCCATCAAATTCTTCCATCACAGTTTTATGACCGTGATAATGTGGATTCTTGCAGGAAGATGATGTGGAGTGATATTTAAACCTCATGCCTCCGCAAAGCCATTCATGAGGCAAGCCTTGCTCCAAACCAACAGACCAGCATGGAGAAAGGGCTCCGAACACGACAAGAAGCAGGAGCGGCGGATGAGAACGACTCTTCGGCTCAAGGGAAGACCACAGGGAGTGCAGACCCGGGACATGATTGTTGCAAACGCAATGGCTTGATCAATACCCACAACTTAATGGTGGAGAGTAAGGAAGGACTAGTGTCAGTCTATTCGGCTCCGCAGTATCATGTGGTGTCCAAGGACAAAAATGGGACACCTGATAGTAGAGGACCCCCGCAGCTGCTGAACCCCAGCACCCTGCCGCAGGCTATAGACCCTTACTACAGGCCCAACCTCATCCTCTACCCTGAGAGTGTCCTGAGAGCTTGGGGCGAGGGGGGTGACTGCTGCGAGACCACTTTCATCGAAGATATGACCCCAGCCTCTTCTGGCTCGGCCATCGCTAAAGATGGAGTTCTGTTCGCTGACAGTAAGCTGCTGGATCTCTCTATGGAGGACGCCAAGATCCAGACGCTCTCCTATGATGTCGATGACGACGACGATGAGTTTCAGGAACTGGAGGTGAGAGATTGCATGCTTTTACACCTTTAAATATAGCTCACCAAAAAAAAAACTGTTCCTCAGCCTCATGTTGTTCAAAATCTGTATGACTTCCTTGCTTCTGTGGAAGATTTTGGTCCAGCATATAGAATAAAGAAACATTTTAAAAAAGGTAAAAACTGTTGAGAACAAAATTATTAGCCCCGTCAGAATTTTACTTGCACTTTAAAGAGCCCCTATTATGCATTATAAAAGGTCATATTTTGGTTTTGGGTTCAGTCTGATATGCATGTAAGCTCAAAAAACACTTTCATTGTCTTACAATATGCATTGCCTATACATCCCAATGACTCCTATATGATTTGTTCTGCGACTCATTTAGTCCCTCCTTACGCCCCATTCACACGGGGCTTCAGTGTTAACGCTTGACTGAAGGCGTGTCTGAAGTTGGGGCTGAAGTGATCGTCATAGAAGCGTCAGCCAATGAAATTCAGTCAGCAATAGAGCACTGTCTAGCTGGTGTATTTGCATACAGCGATCTGATTGGCTGATGCTTCCGTCGGCGCTTGAAAAGTTGAGCTAGTCCCAACTTCTGCAGCGAGCAGCGCCTCTGAAGCGGCGCCGACGGATCCACAATGCAGTTCGGCAACGCCTGACGTCACCCATTCAAAGTGAATGGAAAGCATTGACGCTGATGTGATTGGTCCGATGACCAAGTCTGTTGTGATTGGTCGACTGCGGTCAGTGTGAGACCGAAAGAATTCCCCAATATGGCTTATCAACATTGTTGAAGTAGTCAGAGTGCAGAGTGTATGTGTGAGCCCAATGCAGGTGTGCATTCAAGCAATGCAGTTAAACACCAGCATATTACTCTATTCTTAACCATGACACACACTCAGTATTAATCCACACAGCGGCAAAAGCTTAAAAAAAAGCATTCTTATCCTATGAGAAGACTGTGCTTCTTAATTATTCATGATAGGATGTGCATTCTGATGACAGACCCATATGGACAGACCGGCTGAGATGTGAGAGAGCATTATTTAGTCATTCATGATCACTTGTATTTGTTTTCATGTTCATGTTTATGAGTTTGTTGCATGTCTTTTCTGCGACGCTTTCGGGGCTACTGATACAGCCAAGCTGTTTGTGGACAGCAAGGATATTTGTCCGGAGAGCTGTATGAGAATTAGAGAATGGCGGACTTTGTCTTTTATCAGATGAGTTAATTACCATTCAGACACATCGCCATGCTGCCGTATTTGCATGTGTTTAAAATCTTCAGATTACTGGTGTTGTGCCGAAAAATGCACCCCTTCATAGACTTATTAACATTCTCAGTCTACATTTAAAAAGAAAATTAAAGGCAATTAAAAATTGTAAGTAATTATATGCATCACACAAATGTTTGGCTTGAAATCCCATCCCGATGCAAACCATACTTTTCCCTACTGCATTAAGAAAGGTGTGAGCTCTGTCATTGCTCCGGAATTATCACCGTCCTGTGATACGGGTCTGCTGATCTTCTTGAGAGCACTCATGTGCCTGGAGCTCTTGCCAGATGACTGAAAGACAGAGAGAGAGAGAGAGAGAGAGAGAGAGAGAGAGAGAGAAAGAGGCTATAGAGAGTGCTAAGAGAGCTGGTCTGGACGGCCAGTTTCCCGCTGCTGCCCGCCTGTTTGTGCCACCTGTTCAGAGGCCGATGTGCAGCTTCATAGAGCACTGCGCGAGTGGTCACTGCAGGACACAGTCATGCATGCAGATGTGATGCGCTCTGTGCCTCATCAACTTCATTAATAATGTGACCTCCAAAAAAAAGCTGTGGATTATAAAGGAAACATTTGGTTTCACAAACAGGCTTCAGATTAGTTAAGTAATTAAGCAGCTTTTATAAAAAATGACTGACTTGGAAAGCCAACATAGAGTCATTCTCAGAACGTAGCCTTATATACATTTCTGGAGATCGCGAATTATGTAGCCAGAAGTACGTATGGCTGCATGTAATCTTTTTTTTTTTTTTTTTTTAAAGATTTATTTTTGGCTTTTTATTAAGTGGATAGGACAGTAATGAGACAGGAAGCGAAGTGGGAGAGGGAAGGGGCGTGAAATGTACTCGAGCCGGGATTCGAACTTGGGACACCCTGAAGTGTTTCTGCACCATCTGTCAGCACGATAACCACTAGGCTATTGTGCCGACTGTCATCTTTAAAATGAATGCTATGGGGTGGTATAATGCCATTCCTTTTTGTGCCTACCAGTTGACCACTTACTTTTAAATGGACTGCTTTACCAGTATGTTCCGTGGCTCGCAGTGTACATCAGCAGACTTGAGATGCAAAGAGTTGACTGTGAAGACCAGATTCGAGTCCGACCAAGAACATTTCCAGAAAGTGAGTAAAACAAAAATAGAAGCCCAAAAAAATAAATAAATAAACAAGTAAATAACAGTGTGATGCTGTGTTCACACCAGAAATAGCCGCGTGAACATTTGAGTTTACTTGCTTCATTCGCGCGTCAAACCCCGCTTCAATCGCGTGTCAAATTCACTTCAGAACAGACGCGGATTCGCGTGATGGGCAGGGCTCTTTCTGCCCGAAATTCTAGCTTCATAGCTAAATGGCTAACATGGATTTTATGAAGAAAATAACAGTATTTATGTGTTTATGAAGACTGAAAAACAGCGTCAATACGTTTAGGGTCGTCTCTGAGTCCACTACATCCTTTCAGAGGTGCATCCAGCTCCGTGAGCTCATAAACTCCTCCAGAAACTTAACCTGGATGACGGAGGTTTTTAGCGGTGCTTCTGACTGAGCAAAGCTGAGTTTGATGAACTGTGGTCGGTGAAGGCTGGAGGATTTCCCTCGGAACACCGACAACAGGTTCTACGTCCTAATCACGCCCCCACAAGAGCAAGCTTCTGATTGGTTAACGCGGCGCGAATGTACGCTGATGTTCAGATTTTCAAAATCGAGAGATTCGCGCGAAACGCTCGTTAAGCGCGTCAAACTTGCAAAACGCTCAATTCGCCCCGCGCCATTTGCGCAATTTGTTGCGCAATTCGCGTCATTCGCGCGTATCGAGCCGCAGGATGTTTTTTGCATTTGCATTGACATAACATGTAAATCACTCGCGCTTGACGCCCGTTCTGCGTCTGGTGTGAACGCAGCATGAGAATAAGTTAAAATCTGGAAACGTGGTAAAAATCAGGCGAGGATGTTTCCTTTTTTGGATTGCTTTTGAAAACACTGTCGGCTTGGTTTAGGGAAGTGGGTGGGCACTGGCCAATCAGTGCTTTCTAAAACACTATTGGTTGGGTTTGGGGTGGGGTGGACTTATTTGGAGGCTGTGTTAAAATCGTGCAAACGAAAAACCTGGGGTGGGGGAGGTGACTGGGGCTATGGTGCTTATGATTGCGCGGTGAAGAGGGTTGTAGGTGCTAATGATCGAGCAAAGATGAGTGAGTTATTTGGAGGCAGAATTAAGGCTGGGGTGAGTTCTGATCGTGCAAACTGAAGACTGGGGGGAGGGGGGTGGTTGATGGTTCACCAACTCCCCGGCCCCCAGCCTTCAGTTTGCGCGGTCATAATTCACCTCAGCCTTAAACTCATCTGCGGGCCCGTCAGCTACGCCACTGGGTGAATGGATGCAGTATTAGTCAGTCAGTCAACAGCAGCCTTTAATGGATTTATGCGAGGACTGCAGGTGCCACTCACAAGAGAAATTTGAGATATCAAATAACAAACAGCGGCCTTTGGTGTATTCGCAAAAACAAAAACTGCAAATAAATGTAGCTCCTGGGACGTATTTGGCGCTTTCCAGAAAGGTATGTAGGGGTACATTTTTAGAATGAGCCTGGGTTGGGAAAAACACCACACTGGTGTAGGGATGCAACGATTATAGATTTTTTGGTATGGGTATAGTTTGAGGAATAGTTGATCTGTTAACAGTTATCACAATTATTATACAGTCATTAACTTCACTGAACTATTAGTTCATGAAATCACATGAAAGTTTTAAAATAATTATTTTCCGGTGCTCATAAAATTTGTAATTAGTAATAATTATGGGTGGCACAGGGGCTCAGTGGTTAGCTCTGTCACCTCATACTGTAGCACGAAGGTTGCTGGTTCAAGTCCTGGCTGAACTAGTTTGCAATTCTGTGTTGACTTTGCATGCTCTCCCCGTGTTAGTGTGGGTTTCCTCTGACTGTTTCCCCCACAGTCCAAAGACATGCGCTGTAGGTGAATTGAATAAACTAAAATTGGCCGTAGTGTATGTGTGGATGAGTGAGTATAGATGTTTCCCAGAACTGGGTTGCAGCTGGAAGTGCATCCGCTGTGTAAAACATACGCTGAATAAGGCCATGTCCACACTAATGCGTTTTCATTTAAAGACGCATATTTTTGTCTCCGTTTTGCCCTTCCATCCACACTGAGACGCGTTTTTAGGAAACAAAAACGTATCTTTTTGAAAACGCTCTCCAAAGTGGATAAATTTGAAAACGCCGTTTTCGTGTCGTAGTGTAGACCGTGAAAACGGAGTCTTTCGAAAACGATGACACATTTTTTGTCATGTGACACTCAGTCATGTTACAAATTCATTTATTTTCGTTGTGAGTATGATTTTAGAGATGTCGTCCTTACTGTGAGGGTAAGCGGTGTCATCAGCAGGATACTGTTCTTTAAAGCGGTCCAGTATATCGGCGTATTTGTTTTGGCACGTCTCCCAGTCTACATTTTCACTCTCTTTTGCAACTTTGTATTCATGTGTTACTCGAAGCAGCAACTCTACTTCATTGTCAGTCCATTTAAAAACTCTGTGCTTTTCCTCGACATTTTGCCGCAACGTTTCAAAGAGCCGGAAAGAAAATAAACGTCAGCCGGAAATGACGCATGCCGAAGCGTCTTACGTTTCACGCATGCGCAGTACAGGTTGAAAGCATTTGTAGTCGTTTCAGTGTGGATGACAAAGTTTTGGAAAACGAATAGAAACGACAGTGTGGACGTGAAGCGTTTTTAGAG